CTTCATCATTTGAATTATTTCTCATGTTGATGATATAGATAGATAGATAGATAGATAGATAGATAGATAGATAGATAGATAGATAGATAGATAGATAGATAGATAGATAGATAGATAGATAATGTTGTTTTGGATTTTAAACAATATTGTTTAAAAATGGATTTGAAATGGTATTCAAAGCCAGTTTTAGGAAAATATTTTGAAAAAGAAGGCCATTAATGCTATAAATAAACATATACAGGGCAGAACTCGTATGACACATAAAGGCAGCAGTGAAATTAAGAGTAAGTATGTGCCATTTTTTCTGCACACCGAAATTTATACAACAAAGGGACAGAATGATCTCATCTGGTACAAGCTATACACAGGTTTAACTACAACTCTCATCATCTGCATAATAGAGATAGCTAAAGGAACAAAGGCACAAAGGAAGAAAATGGAAGGGAAGAAGATGAAACATAACGACAAATGTACTTATGTGACATATCACAGACAAAGAAGGAATAGTCAGAAAAAGGAGTAAAGAACAATCAGTATTTGATTCAGAGCCATCTACAGAATTCAAATATTAGATCCAGTAGGTTCTATATGATACGGACAAGTTTTGCCTTCCAGGAAACATTTTTTAAAAAATTAAGCTTCACATCTATGTAGATTTGACAGTGTGCAAGATGATTTCTTTGTCTTGAAGAGGCTTTGCCTATTGGGAATTAAGCAAATCACTACAAAATGCATGTGGAGGATGATGATTGATGATTGAAACATTTATATTATCTAACCATAATTCAATGCAGACGCAAAAATACATAATATACCTGAAAGCAAATGATTAAATTTTCCATGTGAGCACTAAACATATTTTCTCCCTCACATTGTTTTTAAAAATTGAATAGCATTTTAAAAGCTGCTGGTGATTTACAGAAGAAAATCCTCTCTTCACTGAAAAGTAAAATATTCCATGGAACCGGTGAAATAACTGTTGCATGAACTTCATTTGTTGTTTGGCTTTTAAATTAAGGTTTTTTACCCCCTAAAGCACCATGCAGTCAGAAGTTTAATGGGGCTGATTTGGCTTACCTTCTCTTTTACTTTCAACCAATTCTGACTCACTAACCCCCAAGCTGGCTATTTGTTAAAAAGAAATAAGACACATGATGCAGAACTATCATAAATAATATGAACAACGTTGCATGCAGGTTGACTTTCATATTGAATAGATTACATTAAACATTACAGAAGACCACAGGCATTTTAAAATATTCTAAATATAGGTTTTAGCAGGTTTCATTCTGTTAATTTCAGATTTCACTTTATGGCAAACCTTCCCTCCTCTCCCTCTCCTTCCTTCTCCTTTTGGATTCATTCATTTGCACAATGCTGTAGTGTAGGTGTTTGGTATTATAAAATCTGAATTCAGAAAAATATAATCTGATTTGCTGCATTTTCAGTATATGCCCATTAGTATTTTTGCATACTACTGCAAAAATATGGTGCAACATTGTACCTTTAAAAGGCTTAAAGAGCAGTAGGGTGGTGATGGAATACAATGCATGGCTATTTCAAGCACAGCCTATGTCCAGCTAGGCATTTTCCTGAGGCCTCAACATTCTGGGTTGACAATTTCTGCGTTGATTTCAGACCAAGTGGCTTAGGCTCTGGGCTGTTTCCTAGGCTCTTGCACAAAGTTCATTTCCGCAGATCAATAGCCACAACTCCCTTTGCTGTAATATTTCCAGTTATGTTCTCCCTTTCCCTGCCCTTATTGCTTGATGTTTCTCAATGTGGGGGAAGAATCAATGTTGTGACACCATTTCACACTCTGAAATGGTACAATCCATTCTACAAGTATGGGACTCTGTTTCCATCTTCTTCAGTACTGTATCTATAGAGCAGAGTTGAATTATTGCCCACTTTGAATATAAATTCCACTTTGAGTAAGAAGCAAGAACTTCCTGTCAGTCCCGCAGAGAAGGAAAACCACTTACTTCTCTGCTATCCTTCATTTCACATCACAGCAGCCACCAAACCAAACCAAGCTATTTACAATATTGTACATCTGCATCCGGTCTACAGGCTACAGGCCTTTCACCTCTAACTTTAGAGTAAGCTGTTCTGTTTTTTGTGATTAGTGCACATTTTTAATTGAAATATTTTTAAAGATATAAGAAGCTGTGAGATATATGTCCCAAAGGATCTATAAGTTGTGAACACATATCCCCTGCAAAAAACGTAAGACTAAATATAGTCTTCTGTTGTCCTTCCTCAAACCAGATCCCTGATTCTGGCAATTTAATTTTGCAATTCCCTTGCTCTATTTAGATTACTTTGTCTTCTTCCACTTAAATTCCTCACATATTTTTTATCACTCGTTGTGTCTTATTTGTTTCCATCAATGTGTGTGTGTGTGTGTGTGTGTGTGTGTGTGTGCACGCATGCACACGCCTGCTTATCTATCTATCTATCTATCTATCTATCTATCTATCTATCTATCTATCTATCTATCTATCTATCTATCTATCTATCTATCATCTATCTATCTAGTATCTATCTAGTATCTATCTACCATCATCATCTAAATCTAGCATCTAACCTCAATGGGGGGAAAATAGTTCAATTTTGACTTGACTTGTAGGAGTATTGCCTCTTATTATATATTCCAGGACATGCATGGAATGTATTGAGGCTGAAACCATGAAATGACCAATATAAATTCTACTGTTTCCTTCTTGCAGCATTTCCTAATTTTGAGTTTGTCATTGCAATGCCATATTAACAATATATGCAGTTAGATTTGGATATCTAAAAAGGAAACATGACATCAGTTCCCATGTCTGCCAAAAGATCATGTTGAAAATGATTCCAAAAGAATAGAGGCTAGACATGTGAGCAATAAAAAATTCGACCAAACAGTGCTATCAAAGAAACATGCCTCTGTTTTGTGATAAAACTGCCAAAAAAAAGTAAATATTTAGCAACACCCAAACACAGTTGCAGTGTCATATAACTGTCAAGAGGAAGAAGGTAAAACATTATCCATATAGAATTGCCCATATAAAAATTTGTTTCCCCCTTCATTCCCCTTGTTTGATTAGGACTTGTTGTTTTCCACAATTATATTTAGTTTGATTTATGTTATAAGCTGTAGAAAATTTTAGTTACAATTCTTTATTTCACTCATAACCAATATACTGTACCTAATTCCTTGCTATATTAAACAATATTTTTAGTGCAGGAAGTAGAAACTTGTGGCCCCATGATGCATTATTTTTATTTAATTATAATATTTTTGAAAAAATATTTTAAATTGATTTATAGATGGTACCTAAAACCTTTTTTATTTTTAAACTACCTCCAATTTATTGTGGCAGCATACTTTTTCATCTGGGCTAAAATTCCTGATGTTTGGATAAAAGTTAAATAAACTATTCATATTCAGCTAAAATGTAATTGCTTAGAACTATTATGATTGTTTGTGATGTGTCATTTTATTCCTGTAGGAATTCATGTCCTATTTCATATTACTACAAAAGCAATTAGGGGCAGAAATTAGTTAAGATTTCATTTCTTACTTTCAATATTATATTGTATTTGATTTATTAATCTTCCCCACCCCTGATCTTTAATGGTTCTGTATTTTCTATAAGTGGGATACACTAATGTATTCACCCAAGAAGCTCTTGTTATACCATGATATTGAATCTGAAGAAATCTGATAGCACTTTTTATGACTAATAAATTTAAATGCAAGAAAATTAAAGAAAAACGTATAACTTTTAATAAAATTGGTTAGTTGGAAAATATATCACTAGTCTTGATATTTTGCCACCATAAATTGTTCTATCTCTTTTCCAACCATGCTACTGCATGAGCTATCAAAAATATAGACAACCACACTGGAAATTAGAAGTCTGAAATATACCGCAGGAAATACTTTTATTAGACCATTCTAAACATTATATGTATGTATGTATATATGTGTGTGTGTGTGTGTGTGTGTGTGTGTGTGTGTGTGTATATATATATATTCTTGTAAAAAAAAGAAAGATCACCATCACTTTTTTTTCATTTTGCTAGTTTGAAAATGCATTTTTGCATTAAATTTTAGACTAAAATGGAAGTGTCTAGAGTTTACCTATGCCAATTGTAATAATAATAATAAAAATATTTGTTTATACAAAATTGATCTGCAGAGTCTATAGTTGAGGCAAATTTAAAGATGAGTTTTTAAGTATTTGATGTGTGTAACTGACATTTGAATGATTTGGTACCCCAGAAGTGAATTAACTGGCACTCTTCTCAGAGCACCCAATAACAGCTTACCTTGTTCAGATGCCATGCTGTCAATGTCTTTATAGTGCAGCTAATTGAAAAGCCGTTCCTTTAAGTAATTCTGAACAACGAAGAGGAGATCTATTACTCCAGTTACAGGACTTAACTCACTGAGCTGGCAAACTTTTGAGGTTTAATTATCAGATTATGGGGTTCCTTCCTTTCTACACCAATAAGTTTTTCTCTAATGAGCACAAATGTCCTTTATCTTTTTGGCACAGACATTGTTGCCAGGGAATGCCAGAATGCTGATCTTTTTTAGAATGAATGTGCTTGCTCTCTTTTTACTTAGAAATTAAAACTGAAGTCATTACTAAGGAGAAATCCTTACCTTTGCTTCTCACTGGTAGGCCTGATTGAAGTTCATCAAGATCCAAAGCATTACCTTAGTTATCCACTGTTAGCTTGCTGTAAGCGACATGAATTCACCATTCGGTTTTCAAAGAACTGGAAATGCTCTGAGCTCAGGACTGGTATTGCACCTATTTACTCTCTCTCCCTCTCCTCTCCTCTCCTCTCCTCTCCTCTCCCTCCCTCCCTCCCTCCCTCCCTCCCTCCCTC